AATGCAAACACAGATGACTATCCTGAATGCAAACACAGATGACTATCCTGAATGCAAACACAGAGGACTATCCTAAATGCAAACACAGATGACTATCCTGAATGCAAAAACAGAGGACTATCCTAAATGCAAACACAGATGACTATCCTAAATGCAAACACAGATGACTATCCTGAATGCAAACACAGAGGACTATCCTAAATGCAAACACAGAGGACTATCCTGAATGCAAACACAGAGGACTATCCTAAATGCAAACAGAGGACTATCCTAAATGCAAACACAGATGACTATCCTGAATGCAAACACAGATGACTATCCTAAATGCAAACACAAAGGACTATCCTAAATGCAAACACAGAGGACTATCCTGAATGCAAACACAGATGACTATCCTGAATGCAAACACAGATGACTATCCTGAATGCAAACACAGATGACTATTCTGAATGCAAACACAGAGGACTATCCTAAATGCAAACACAGATGACTATCCTAAATGCAAACACAGATGACTATCCTAAATGCAAACACAGATGACTATTCTAAATGCAAACACAGATGACTATCCTAAATGCAAACACAGATGACTATCCTAAATGCAAACACAGATGACTATTCTAAATGCAAACACAGATGACTATCCTAAATGCAAACACAGATGACTATCCTAAATGCAAACACAGATGACTATTCTGAATGCAAACACAGATGACTATTCTGAATGCAAACACAGATGACTATCCTGAAAGCAAACACAGAGGACTATCCTAAATGCAAACGCAGAGGACTATCCTAAATGCAAACACAGATGACTATCCTGAATGCAAACACAGATGACTATCCTAAATGCAAACACAGATGACTATCCTAAATGCAAACACAGATGACTATTCTGAATGCAAACACAGATGACTATCCTGAAAGCAAACACAGAGGACTATCCTAAATGCAAACGCAGAGGACTATCCTAAATGCAAACACAGATGACTATCCTGAATGCAAACACAGATGACTATCCTGAAAGCAAACACAGAGGACTATCCTAAATGCAAACACAGAGGACTATCCTAAATGCAAACACAGATGACTATCCTGAATGCAAACACAGATGACTATCCTGAATGCAAACACAGATGACTATCCTAAATGCAAACACAGATGACTATCCTAAATGCAAACTTGGTAGAGATACTCAGTTTGACAAGCTTAAAAAGACAGGTTACAAAACCTATCAAGAATTCCTCTTTATGCTATTTTTTGGCTTGGGTAAAAGATCCAAATCCTCTACAATGGCTATGAGAACAACGGTACTGTGAAATTTGTGTAGTTCACTACGAAAAAGAAAAGCACAATTTGCCAAAAATTAGGCATCAGTCTAATCCCAGCGGGCATTTTTACCCAATCTCATGCCGTAGAGCATCTTCGATGTGCATATATATACATATGTATTTATGTTGTATTTTGAAATTTGAATCCTTGCTAGCCTATCAACCTATTTCCCAGGTAGTGCATTTCCGGGCTTGTAATCAGTATGTACCTGGGTGTCCCCTACATTCCTGCTCCTAGGGATGATGCCAGCAAAAGTGTCTGCCTATCAGTGTATCGTAGCGTTATGCATAAAGCAATCTAATATTCGTTTGGTTGTACGTTCTTATCAATATGGTAAAGATATGCATAGGTAAATATTTCTTTTCATGAAAATAGTATACTTTGTGGTTTTATCGCGCACGGAAACACAATATTTGAGTTTGATATAGTATGACATTGGCAGTGGAGGGGCCGAGTTGTAATCCAAGTCATGCATTGAAACCCGTTGCACTAGAATGTACGACTCGGAATTGAGAGCGAGCTAACCAATCTCCAAATTATCATACCATAGTGATACTATTTTACTGCATGAGTTGACTCAGCAAGATTTAATAGGAGCAGTGCAGAGTCAGAAAAAGTATCAACAGGGATCATAGGGCGTGGTCACATCGAGGGGAAGGACCAGTGTTCTGCTCGATAAGCACAGCTATTAAGTGTCCTCAAAGCTACCTTCAGATGCTCAGCAGTAACAAATGCAAAAAAAACAACAAAATAACAGGTGTCTGCTGATTCCTAGTAGAGAAAGGTGGTGAATCTTCTATCTTTCTGTAAATTCATTTTGCTTCAAATTTGATTGATTTATGAATGTTCTTGCGGTGTATAAAGCTGTTTTTCCTACCAAGTTTTATGCTTCTATAAAAATTTGCATTGTTTTTTTACTAACATCCCTGACTATTTTTTACGATTTCACTTTTGAATCTTCATCAAGATGCGAAATTTCTCTTCCAAATCTGTTGGTACATCCAGATATTGCACAGAGCTAACCACTGTGATTGATCCAACTGTGACCTAGCTACTCTGCTCCTCCTAGGTTTCAAGGCAGCGCTTGTTCTGAAAAGTTGCTAGAAGACGGTACATAAAAGTTAAAAATTGTTCCCATTTTAAGACGGTACGGCAAACAAGTTGGCTAAACACATATCTGAACGATTCTAGATATATAATGTTTCGAAATCGGCTTCTACGAAGGCATGCTCTCCTTGAAAATTTGGAATTTTAAGGTATCTTGTTTGAATGCTGGGATCCTAGAGACCTAATAACCAGATAATTCGGTTGTTTAATTTATAGTCCTACTGTTATTTTTTATTCTTTGCGAAAGAGGAAAAGTTAATAGCTCCTTCATTACTCTACCAGTAAAGACTTTATTGAGCGTTCAGCAAGACTCAATGCTGGCCCCCTTGCTCTTTAAATCTACATTAGCGATGTTTCTATCTGGTAAAAGATACTGATTTATGTAATTATGCAGATGATACTACTATCAGGATAATTACATGAAAATGAACAAAGAGAAATGTCATCTTGTAATTTTGGGAAAGAAGATAAAGAGGTTAGCAACTGTGGGTCTGTGATAAAAGAGCGCACCGAAGAGACACTTCTTAGAATAACCTTGAACAAAATGTTAAGCTTCTCATCTCATGTTAATAACCTCTGCAAAATAACCAGTCATCTTCTTGCTCTAAATCGCAGATTAACATTTATGGCTGCACCTCAACTAGCTTTAACAATGACCCTCTTTAAAATGTCTAATTTTAGTTATTGCCAACTTGTATCATGTGCATCGAGTCATATGCATTGAATCATATCTCTTTGAATCATGTGCAAATATACCACCTCCAATTTTGATCAATTATTTACTAAAACAGAGTCTATTCACAAGATAAATTTACAGCTACTCTTGGTCGAGATATATAAAACTATGGTCCAGAGACTATTAGATTTATTAGCTACCAAATATGGCAAAAGCTGCCTACTGAAATCAAAAAGTCCCAATCATTACATATCTTTAAACAAAATATAAAATCTTCAGGAAACTTTAAGTGAAGATTGTGCAAAACATATATAAAAGAAAGAAAGATATAATTGTCTTTCTCGCTGATTAAAAAAATTGCTTGTAGGCAAGCTGAAAGAGCTTCAAGTAAAAATGAAGCAAACAAAGAATTTATGACACATGAATGTACAAGACGAGGAGATTTAAGAAAGTTCACTATGTTGATACTTCCAAAGTTTTCGTCGAGAAAAGGGCCTGGAAATCCGGTGATGTCTTTATACCGAACTGATTTTAGTTTGTAGACGAATAGGAGATTATAGAGTTTGTTTTATCTATTTAAAAATAGTTTATTAGCATCAAGCTACCTTTAAACAGATTTTAAGTTTGGTGTTAATCTTTTTAAAAATATCCAAGTATCATGATAAATATTGTTACTATCTTTAAAGATGCAAAATTTTATATAATTAACGCTATGGTTAATTCATTTATAAAAAAGAAGAAGGGAAGATATCCTAGTACAGATTTGCGAGGAACATCGTAAATGATTTCAATGTTTTCTGACTTAAAAAATGAGGCAGGTTTTAATGTGTACTCTACCCATGCTTATCCAGACAAACAAATAATATGCAATGAGATAATGAAAAATAGTATTTTGTTGTGTTAATAGCAACTTGCCCACGCATACTCTGGTAACAACCCCAAAAAAGTATTACACCGTATTTAATGCACACTATCTTATCATCATCAAACCCGTCAAGACATCCACTAAATGTGCATGCTTCCTTTGTTTGACATAAAGGCTAAAGTATAAGGGGCCTTAATAGAGAAGGGGCTTATTTTAAGCTTTTTCTTGATAAGGGGGGGGGGTCTTAATGAAGAGAAGGGGCTTAATAGAGCTTTTAAGGTGCTTGATTACTCTTGCTCGAAATACAGTTGAATCCCGCTATCTCGAAGTCGGTTATCTTGAAAAACTCTCTATCTTGAACAGATTTCCATTCCCCTCGATATCTTATAGAACAAATAAATGCGCATTATCTTGAACTCGCTTATCTCAAACTATTCGCTATCTCGAAAGAAGTTCTTTACCATTGAAAGAGAAAACCCGGTTATCTCGAACAAAAAGTGACAAAAATTTCCAGCTATTAATTACCATTCATTTTGAAAAATTGAAATGAAGTTAGGTTGTCCGACAAGAACTAACTTGCAAGGGACTTGCACTCATTTGCCATCTCAAAAGTTTACATGATTGCCATTCATTATTATCAAATAGAATGATAAACGTGGTACCTTTAGATAAAAGAATTCAATTCGAATTCAGTTGTGTTTATAATGGGTATATATTCTGTTACTGCTACTTTGACACCAGCAATAGAAACAAAACCATTGTCGTTTGCCATTTTGCCTTGAAGAAGCACTTCAAATTATATAAAGAAAATTTCATTAATAGACTATTTACGTTCAGTTTGAAGTTCAACAAAGCTTTGGAGACGAATGAGCTCTTTTCCTTGGTTTTCATGTTCTACTTTTAAACACAGATGGCCCGTTTTAGATAAAAAAATCCTGAATCCGGATATCTTGAAGTCCCGCTATGGCGAACAAATTTTCATTTCCCGTGAGTTCGAGATAGCGGGAATCGACTGTATACAGACATGAAACATGTGACTAACGCATGATTTGAGACGAGGCTGATGTTTATATCAATCACATCAATCAAGGTGCGAGGAAAAATGGCGTTGCTACTGTTAACAGTCATTGTTCTGTGCATTTCTGCTACAACTTCCCTTTTAAGGTATGTTTATGTTGCAACTTTGATAGACAAATGAATTTAGATTAAAATATTTCTACACGTTTTTGCCAAGTTCGTAACTGCGTGCAGTGCAGGAACACCGAGAGAATTCAGGCCGAGGGGCAAAAGACTGGACTGAAAGTTTTTGCGACCACACCCTTTAGATTGCCTAAAAATGCATTTAAGAATATTTTTGGAGTTATTTCCATACAATTCTTCAAACCATTTTACTTTTTTGGCATACGTTTGCTTAAATCAGTTTTTACAATGGCATCCATTACGTTATGAGCCCCCCCCCCCCTTTTACAGGCATTTGATTTGGTCACACACAAAACAGAATCTGCGTTTTTTCATCTGCCATACACAATGTCATTCTTCTATTCTTTTATTCTTTTATTCTTTGTTTGGAGAGTCGAAGAGCTCTATGATGACAAACTTTTGTGGTAGTTTTCAGGGCAGGGGCGGATCCACCAAAAAACCTGACTGAGTTCCAGGCCAAGGCTTTTGGGTCTTTCAGATAGTGAGATTGATGTTTATAATTGTGCGTGAAACAACATTATTATTAAATTTATGCATTTTGGTATGATAGGGGAGGGGGTACTACTATCCACTAACTAAATCTAGATTTTAGGTTTTCTTACAAAAAAAGTGCTCCTGAAAATTTTTGCAACCCCCTCCCCTTCTTGTTTTTCTCAGATGCCACATCAAAGTTTTTCTCTTTTGTTTTGTTTGCATTTCCAGAGAGCATCATTAGGGGGGTTCAGATGGGTCAGTGCCCCATGACCCAGGGGCCCTGGCCCTGAAAATGGTCCGTACTCAAGATTATTATATTTTTCTTTTTCAACCATAATGCAGCATTCCAAGTAGGCTTTCTCCTGTAAGAGTCCAAGAAGGCCTGAACATATTAGCAAAATAATTTGCAGCTGGGATTTACAATTTGCAGAGAGGCAGCTGCTGCCCCTAAGTTTGAGGTGCTGTCTCAAAACAATAAAGGACAGCTTTTGTGACAAGCAGCCAATGGGACTGCCTGTTTGCAATTTTTCTGAATTGTCATCAAATTGCCCTATAAACACCTTTAGTTATGAAATTAAATATGAAAGTATTTAAAATTTACTCAGTGTTGTTTATATTAAAAACATAATTTGACTCTCTTGTGCTCAGGCTAGCAAAGTGGGTCTGTCGAAATGACAAAAATGATGGCTTACTAAATGACTTGGTTGTCCTGAGTATTGAAAAATATGTCACTAAAAATTGATTTAAAAGCTGGTAAATTGGTACTGTAGAGGCTTTGAAAATTAATGGATAGCAATTGGAATAGAATATATATTGGGAAGAGAAGGGCTCAGAAGTTGACTCATTTTGAATTGCCTGGCATCTAATTTCTTGTCTTAATTTGTAACACCGCATTCATACCTATTTTGTATCCATAAAGCCATAAGCCAAAGGTTTGTGAGATAGATCTAGAAAAGATGATCATTTGAGCCACGCTAGAAAGCATCGAATAAAGACCATTTAGCTTTCAATTTCAAAGCAAGGGCATTTCCAGGAACAACACAGGTTTGCACCTTCTTGGCCTTGCCCAGGCTTTCCCCTGGGGCCTGCCCTGCCTAGTGGCAGTCCTGCATTTCAATGTCAAAATAAGATCTGATCACTTTTAAATTGAGCACAACTTTGTTGCGTTTCCTCTGTAGACTAAAGGAAATTTGCCAGCCAATTCATTAAAATATGGCATCTTATTCCATCTGATCATAGATCTCCCCTCTCATCAAAAACTGTGATTGAAAAGTGAATGCTCTTGTAATATTAAAAAATTTTCCTGGTTTTATCTCAAAAGCTTAAAAATCTGCTAGAATTCTGCGAGGGTCACAAATATCAGATATCTGAAGTTGCCATCTCGGATTCAATGTTATCCAGTCCCATGCCAGAAGAAAAAAGAATTGCAGCCTAAACTACTGGCTTTTGTGCAGCTATCTTACAAATATGGTATCATTTTCAAGTTTGATTGAGATGATGTGCTGACTGAGTTCCATCTGTGTTTGAAACAAAAATTCCATCGTTTCTTTCACTCACTTCCCAGGCACAAATTGTTTATTTCTGAGTTCTATTTCAGAGCTAGTGGTCTGTTGTCCTCCACAGTCGTCCAAAGCCCCCACCCTTCCCTGCTCAAGTGTACCTTTCTATTGAAAATTTCATGTTGCAATCAGGTTGCAATTTACTACTGTTCTGAATATTGAGATGTTTTTTAAGATTTGACGGAAATTTGCAGTTGAAGTGAGATATTTTCACTCAAGCTAAATTGGTATGTGGCCTGACTGTCAAAAAGACATGCAATTTTTGGCACAGACTAATGTTGACACAAAGATTCCTGTTCTGCCATCTATTTCTGGCTAGTATGAAGATAAGAAAATTGGCAGATGCAAACTCAAATCCAAGAGTATAGGCAGAAAACATGTGAGTAAATATGTGCATAGAAAAATGAATTGATAACAAATTTGTTTGAAAAAGTAGAAGTGACACAAAGAAAGGTACTTATGTCATTTTGATTAGTAAGCCAAAATTGAATGATGTTAGTGTAACAAGGTTTTTGGCAGGCATTCTGGATGGGTAACTGGCAAATGAAAGTGATGCATACAAATGAATTAAATTGCATTCAATAAAGTAGTTGTGAGGCTTTTTATGTCTGTACTTAGGCTACGTTCACACTACTCCGTATTCGTTTCGCTCCATTTTCGTTGATAAAAACGATGTCCGTTCACATTAATCTGTTGTTATATGAATTCGCTGTGAATACGATAGGTGTTCACACTACTCCAACAAAAACGCTGTTGGTGGCCTTATTTTTAGAAAGAGGCGTTCACGAATCCTCAACAAATTGGCGTCATTATAAATGAAATTAAATAAAAGTAAATCGTTAAAAACTTTGCTTTAACAGCTACCAGTCCATTGTGAACTCTCAATTTCAAAATTTTTTAGATTTGGTGTGCTACAAAGCACATAATTTGTTGCCGATGTTAGCGTATTCAAATGTCTCCGTTTTTGGTGTTCACACTGAAAGCGGAGCGTATTCGAAAGTATCCGTTTTCATTAGTGTTTTCAAACGACTCCGTTTTCATAGCAGAGTAGTGTGAACGCAAGGTAAAAACGGATAAGTTTGACTCCGTTTTCATTTGATTAAAAAGGGAGTTTGTTCTTCTCATTGAAATTTGATTCTAGCTTAATAGCAGGAATTACTGAACTCTGAATGAGGTTAGCCACCCATTAAGGTGCTATTAGCAAGGCTTCATGGTTTAGTATAAGGCATGAAGGAAAACAATATTATGCAGCTGATTCTATATTGTAGTCATTAAAGACTTATGTTACCAATAACGAAACCTATAATGACTGTCTATATTTATCAAACCATATAATAGCTACTTATTGTCTGTCAGCTATTCGAGGAGGTGCCCTTAGAGCTGAAGAGGAGTATATTCCGTTGAAGGTTAAAAATTGAGATGCCAGTATTTGAAGAGTAAATTCCATTTTCCATTTAACCACCTTTCAAATCAAACTCAAATCTGCCAGAGATTTTTGAGCATTTTCAGCCTATCTTCTTGGTAAAGTCATTATTTTTGGAAATGTAGTTGTCAACTTAAAAGGGTAGTTAGTCCAAATGGCAGTTTCTCCAATTTTTTCTTAAAAAATCTACTTTTATCAATTAGCTGTATCACCATTGCACCCTTTGGTTACGACGACACTGATAAAGAAGGCAGTTCCGCATCTTGAGGGTTCTCATGTGAGAAACCGACTGTGGGGTGTTAATAGCACGTGTGAAAATTAAGTAACTGTAGAATGTGAAAATCTGGAATAGTCTTGATAGGTGCTTTTGAACAATTCACGATAAAAGTGATTTTTGCATACGTTGCAGATTTTTATCGTGCGCACCTGCAATATTATCGTTGAGCTGCAAAATCTTGCTATTTGCGAGAAAACTACCAAAGATTTCCAGAAGAACAGGTTTTCAAGTCAAATATTTTTGTTATTATTCCCGACGCTTGCTATCAAAAAGTAAGATCGTCCTTTGTGCGGTGTTCCACCGATTAAAACATTTGTCTTTTCATAAAGGCCGATTTCAATTTGACAATTTTTGTGCGCGCGGGCGTAGCGCCCAAATCTGAGCATGCATAGTTAAAGTCAAGAGGTCTCGATTTTGCGTCCGCTGTGAGCGCCAGAAAGTTGAGACCCTAGTGTATTGTTTTGTCTTTGCTAAGCGGTGTTTTGTTGTGTTTTGCCGCAGTGTTCCGTGTTTAGTTGCGTGTATTGTGTTGTGCTTTGCTACGCAGAGTTTTGTTGTGTTTTGCCGCAGTCTTATGTGTTTTGTTGCGTTTATTATGTTGTGCTTTGGTAAGCGGTGTTTTGTTGTGTTTTGCTGCAGTCTTATGTGTTTTGTTGCGTTTATTGTGTTGTACTTTGCTAAGCGGTGTTCTCTTGTTTTTTGACGTAGTCTTATGTGTTTAGTCGTGTTTTGCCGCAGTTTTCCGTGTTTAGTTGCGTGTATTGTGTTGTGCTTTGCTACGCAGAGTTTTGTTGTGTTTTGCCGCAGTGTTCCGTGTTTAGTTGCGTGTATTGTGTTATGCTTTGCTACGCAGAGTTTTGTTGTGTTTGCCGCAGTCTTATGTGTTTTGTTGCGTTTATTATGTTGTGCTTTGGTAAGCGGTGTTTGTTGTGTTTTGCCGCAGTGTTCCGTGTTTAGTTGCGTGTATTGTGTTATGCTTTGCTACGCAGAGTTTTGTTGTGTTTGCCGCAGTCTTATGTGTTTTGTTGCGTTTATTATGTTGTGCTTTGGTAAGCGGTGTTTTGTTGTGTTTTGCTGCAGTCTTATGTGTTTTGTTGCGTTTATTGTGTTGTACTTTGCTAAGCGGTGTTCTCTTGTTTTTTGTCGCAGTCTTCTGTGTTTTGTTGCATATATTTTGTTTTCTTTGCTAAGCGTTGTTTTGTTGTGTTTTGTCGTGTTCTTCTGTGGTAAGTTGCATTTATTGTGTTGTGCTTTGCTAAGCGGTGTCTTGTTGCGTTTTGCCGCAATTTTCCTTATTTTAATTGCGTGTATTGTGTTGTGCTGTGCTTTGTGGTGTTTTGTTGTGTTTTGTCGTAGTCTTATGTGTTTAGTCGTGTTTTGCCGCAATGTTCTATGTTTAGTTGCGTGTATTGTGTTGTGCTTTGCTAAGCCGTGTTCTGTCGTGTTTTGTCGTCGTCTTCTGTGTTTTGTTGCATATATTGTCAGGTGGCTCACCGATCAGAAATTTCTCGCCGGCGATGGTTTTCACAAGGCTTGCTTTACATCAGTGTGCCAGTGCTTTTTAGGTCGTGACTTTGATGCTTCAAGGGGCTGCTTGAGCTACATGATGACAGGGAATATAATTTTGTCACTGGTAAACAAATATCTTTTGTTGTGATACGAGTCTTGTATTTTCCTATAAAACTTATAAAATATATTTACTTTATGGTAAAGTCAAATCATGCGCTAGAGCAAATGTTGGGCTTACAAGTTTTTTGATTGCAACCGTGGTGTAAGGCAAGATTGTCTTTTGGGCCCAATACTTTTTGCAATGTTTTTGAATAACTTGAAAATTTCGATTTGTTTAAATACAAAGGGTGTTCAGCTTGGACGAAACGTTTTTCATACCTTGATGTATGCTGATGATCTTATACTTTTATCTGAAACAGCAGAGGATCTCCAGTCCCAACTAGATAAGTTAAATGTTTTCACAACTAAAGTTCAGATGGAAGTTGATGTAAACATAACCAAAATTATGCTGTTTAAAAAGAACAAGCGAATGAAAAAAAAGTACTTGGGAGATAATGCTATTTCAGAATGTGATTCTTACAAGTATCTTGGTGTCATTTCTAAGTCAAATGGTTCTTATAACGAGCATATTGAAAAAGTCAAGCAAAAAGCTGGTAAAGCATATTTTGCTTTAATTTCTAAATGCAAAGAGTTGAATGGTTTACAGCCTGGACTCTTTCTACATTTATTTGACCAGATTATAGTACCCATCATATATTATGGCTCAGAAATCTGGGGATTTGATGAGTGGCCTACCCTTGAACGTTTACATCTCTCTGCTTGTAAATACATACTTGGAGTTAAATCTACTACTTGCACTGAGGCTATTTATGCTGAATTAGGCAGAATTTCCATTCAGTGTAGCAGGCACATAAATATCTTAAAATTCTTGTTCAGGCTTGAGTCCCTTCTTGATTTGGAACCAGATAGGTATGTTTGCAAATCATTTGAAGCGCTCTCGAACGCCACAAACAATGGCTTCCCCAACTGGGTATCGAAAGCCCACAAATTGAAAACCAGATATGAAGTCAGTCACAACGATACCACTGCTGTGATAAAATCTAAGGTTAGAAGTCATTTTGCGAGTGAAATAATGAACAAGCTTAAAATGCACGTTGTACTAAACAAGAAATTATGTGCATATGCTCAAGTTAAAACGGTTTTCAAATTCGAATCCTATCTTGACATTTTCAAAGACTTTAACAAAAGACGATGCCTTTCACGGTCAAGACTAAGCGCTCATAATCTAGAAGTAGAAACTGGCCGTTTTGGAAAAAACCCTATCCCTAGAGAAGAACGACATTGCAGTTTCTGCTTAGGGACAGGTTTGAGGTTTTTAGGAGATGAATTTCATTTACTTATGGTGTGTCCAGAATTTGCTGATAAAGGTGCTATCTCTTAAATGAACTCCAACGAACAGCCCTTAATTTAAAGCAGCTAACAAGTTGGAATCAATTTATTTGCATATTAAGCCAAGAAGACTTAAAATGTCTCAATTTAGTTGCCACATTTCTATACAAATGCTTTAAAACAAGATTGAAAGAACAGTAGGACAATACTAATTTCCAAGATGCTCAAACCCCGGATTCTAATTATTAGTTGATTATATAGATTTTTCGCTGTGAAATAGCTTTTTGATATTGCGTATGTTTAATCTTTTCGTGCTTTTGTAATTAAAAATTGTATCATTTAAAATTGAGTTTATATTAACGTTTGACAAGTTGTTGTAGCAGTAATTTTATTAACTTTTATTGTTATTTCTATGTTGTAATTAGGTAAGAGGCCATCTTGGCCTAGATACCTGTTAAAAAAAACAAACCATGCACGTGACTTTTGAAGCGTCCCAGCTGTCGTCAAAATCACTGTCACCTTCGCATGCTTTGACTTGAGCATCGAAAGCTGGAATTCCAAAATACTTGACCTAGATATGGGTCTCAACAAAGAGCAGAAGTTTTGCTCCTATCAACCAAAAATTCGAATTATGCTGCAATCGAATTATTGCGCTCTGATTGTGCTTAAATTCTGTATCTTCTCGTTGTCTATTTTGTTAACAAAGTTGTTCGGCCTTTTTTCATCACCACTATACCTTTCTCTTGATTCGTAATCCTTTTAACTTGCTTTTAATTTAAACTCGTTTAAACTTTATTTTTCAAAATCAATTAGATAAATGCTCTCATTGTACTTCCAGATCATTATTCAGACCAATTTAACAGTTCATTAAGTCGTTTCAATTCATTAACAGTTCAGTCGCACTTGCAATCTTGTTAACAGCAGCCTGCAGTCTCATCGTTTTGGGTCGACGGAACCTTCAACAACGCACTAGTTGCTTTACTCGTTTCAGGTGCATCGTAAAACCGATAAGACCAAACAAACGTTAAAAAGGCAAATATATTTGCGAGAAATTTAGCGTCGGTTTGGAGGTGAATACCCCTAAGCATAGTGCTAAAATCGTATGGTTAGCCCATGTTATGATCAGATTTAAACTTCATGTAAAGATATTTCAACCCCTCATTGTTGCAATGAAATAGCATGCGCACTAAACTTAATCGATAATACTTGACAGCGACGCCGTAAGAGGAAAGGGAGTCGCAAATTTTCTTCTCGTTAATTCTTTCTCCAACAAGCCCTCAGATTCGTTTGATTCGCTATTGCTTTGATTTTTGGCTCGCAACCTTACTACAACTCTGAGTTCTGCAACTGAATCATATTTTCCAATACTAAGACCCTCCACACTTCATCCTTTCTTGTTCCTATTTAATTTCTAATTTCAGCGTAGAATCCTGTCAGACAAGGAGGAACTGACAAAATTCAAGTTAAGAATTTTTTGTACGAAAGCAATGTGTTCTGTCAAAAAATCTTTGATTTCATGCTGAATTAGTCTAGATAAATTCAAGCTTTGTAAAGCTGCCGTTTGTACACAAATCTGAGAAAATGTGTTAGGCCCGTTAAAACCACACCACGTCCAATTATATTGTCCCAATGTCATAAGTTACTCAAAGTTGTTTTATTTCATTTTCAGGGTACCTTTGCATCGTATGCCTAGCGCTAGGCAGATAATTCGCAGTGTTGGCGCTGCCAATAAACTTGAAGAGCTGAATGAAACCCCGGAGTATCTACACAATTTTTTAGATGTAAGTTTCCTTAAAGCTTAATTTACAGTTCACGCTGTTTGGGCTTTGCTCAGTCCGGCCAGGAGCGACTATAGGTAGGCTTTTACAAAGCTGAGGCACGGAAGACTTGCTCACTTTTTTTAGTTCCCATTCCACTCGGCTGTCAAAGAAGGTGAAAAATGTATTTGGTAGAAGCCTAAACCAGGTTATTTCAAGATAGTCCTCCATCCAGCTTCTTTAACACCCCCACCAGCTATGCCAATCTCTCTCACCTATTAAGTGCCATTTTTAGTTAAAAAAGATCAATATGGTTTATCCTGGAAACCCTGTACCATCATAGATGGTACCGAAGATTGTGCCATTCCTTTTTTCTGTGCAAAGCTGAAGCACTAGAATACCTTTATTTGCGGATACCTCAGCAGCGATACCTGGTTTATAACCTAAGAAACTCACGTAGTTACACACAGCCTTTTGGAAGAACAATTCGGTACTCAAACTCGTATTTCCAAAATACCATATCTGAATGGAATCTTCTGGACAATGACGTACGAAATTCTCCTTCGATTTCCCAGTTTAAAAAGAAACTGCTTGCTATCATTAGGTCAATTAACAATCCTACCTACAACACTCGTGACATTCTGAGTATCAGCATGAAGCGCTAGGATCTCTTCGCCCTCTATACAGCATGAAGCACTAGGATCTCTTCGCCCTCTATACAGCATGAAGCACTAGGATCTCTTCGCCCTCTATACAGCATGAAGCGCTAGGATCTCTTCGACCAGCTCTCAGGTATCGATGGATTCAATGTTGCCGATGTAAATATGAAAGACTCTTGTTTACTTTTGTTTGGAATTTGGGTACAGTTGCAAACAGAATTATATTAGAAGCAACAATTTCCTTCGTTGAGGCCTCAGAAAGGTTAAATTAAGACCGAAATTCAGCAGCAGCACCCCTTTCTTTTCTTTCTCTAATTTTTATTTTTTTTATTTTCTTTTTCTTTTTTCTTAGATAAGGAACCTTTTTTTTGAATTGTATGTGGTATTCATGGTGAGGACTCGATGGCCTTGTACTTTTCCTCACCATGAATGTCACAGCTTAATGTAATTGTAGTTTAGTAGTTGTAGTTGTTCTTAATTGATATAGAAAAAATATGGTTGATACGGGTGAAAGGCCTGCTTGATTAACGCCCCGTGATAAGAACACAATTTTATAGCCCCCGTGTATTAACTCTTGTTATTTACCAAGTTGGTCAATTATTTATGTTGGTTAATTGGTAGGAATTCGTTTTAAAAGTGTGGATCTAGAGATGAAAGGGGATAGAGACTGGCTATCTTCTTTTTACAGCAATGTAACGCTTGGACTGCTATTTGCTATCTATGTTGTTTCATCATGTCTCAATAATGATGGCTCTCCATCAAGATTTCAACATGCTTTAAATTTAAAGGTTGAAGAAGCACAGGGTTATGTAAAAACAAAATAGCAAATCTTGTTACAAGAGCGATAATCACATATAAAAATTTCCAGAGCGCTTTTTTAACCATATTGATGCTATCCTAGTGAGCATGAGTACATTCAAATATGTATACAGATCATTGGCAGTAAGTAGGGGCATCAAAGAGTAAATGATCGCAAATAGCTCTTCTGAAGACATGAACGGCTTTTTCTGAACACTTTTCTTGCCAATCAAACAACGGAGAAATCGGGAAAATAGTTCGATAGCAGGGGTGTTGAAATGTTTCCTCCCTCCCTCCCGGATATCTCTGCTATTGAAGAACGTATCATCCACCTTTGAATTTGAAGGAGGGCAGTTCTTTTGTTTTAGATAGTTTTTTTATTTATGTGTAAAAGATAAATTTTGTTGTGGAGATTCAGAAATTTCCCAAGGATCAACAACATGTATGATGTAATATTACAAAATGGCAAAGAGGCTCACTAAAATCGACCAATTGAATTGGCACTGTGAACTGCAATCAGATACGAGGCAAAACAAGGACAATAATCATGTTAAGACGTCCGCTATTGCATAATTTGATTGCAAAAAAACATTATTCGGCTGTTACCAGGTGGTAATGACTACTTCTTATCCCCTTTTTTCTCTTTTTTCCATTTTTAATTTTAAAATTTTTTTGAAACATTGAGTTTTTAGTTTTTACCTTATATGCCTATAAAAACAAAAAATAGTATCCGGGACAATATACGATGTTAATGGAGAGGGAAGCACAATTTACGAGTCTTATTGACAACTATTGGAAGATTTTCTTTAGGTTAAAGATCTGGTCTCTTGTACCTAATCTTTTCCGAACTACAAAATCTTTTCCTTGGTTGTTTTTTTAGTCGCTTTCTAAGATATTGCTCAGCTTATCATTAACCAGCGTCAGTCTTAGTGGTTGTTGCTTGATGTCATTACGAGGTGAGGGATATTACGCAAGCTACTGGCTTCGATGATCTATTTGTAGGTGAATTGATACGTGATTCAAGTTCTCACTTTGTTTTCATAAATCATTCAAAATTTTCACAAAAGATTTCACCGTTTCAATAGCTTTAACTTATATACAGCTGCAAATTCCAATCTGGGGACAAGAAAGACCTACTTTACTTGATTGGGTATACCAGAATCAAAAACAATATTGAATAATTCATCACCCTCAGTTTGTCACCAAAAATAAGTGATTAGTTTAAAGCTCTTTCTCTACTTTGATTTGCTCAATAGTTATTTATTTATTAGAAGATCTGAAGAAGTTGAAATTTTCACCGATCAGTAGCTTAACTGAGAAACTAAAAACGAACATTTTCAAAACGTCTTAGACTATTCGAAGCAGCCAATAAAAAGATACAGTCATCAAATGATTAGGGTGAATGTCATTCTTTCAAATGCATTATTTGTCCTCTTTTTCCTTTTTCTACTTTCAAATTATGGTTTCGTAATAAGGGCTCTGTATGTTTGATTGGAAATGCCTCTGATTTGTGTAGTTGAAAGAAGTCACTTATGATTATTGGATAAATGTGGCTTCTGAAGTGATGATTTGCCGCAACAGATTGCTTCATAAAACAAGCGTGTGATGCGTGTTAGATGAGACTCGCCGCACCTGAATGTTGAATAGAAGAGAACTCTGATGATTGTATGACGAGAGGAATTTCTAACTGTTGTATAGAAAGAAAGTCTAGTGATGAGTGATAGATGGGAGTCGCTGCTGATGAGTGTTTGTTATAATTGCGCAGGCTTTGTTATTTGTGGAGAGCCAATCCTCTTGCTTCTCTCCAGGCTATTTTCCAATGCCCAAGGGGAGCTGCAGATTGCTCGCTTTAACTGTCAAAAAACAGCAAATTCCCCTCCTTGAAATCAATCTTCCTTTTAATTCTTTTTTTATGTATCTATGAATAGCTCATCTGGAGATTACTAGGAGAGCTGTTTACCACACATCTTCTAAAAGTCTTATTCGATGTAGCATTTTAGTCAGTTTGCTGCAATCATTTGGTTTATTTATAGGCCCAATATTACGGAGAGATTGGAATTGGTACACCACAACAGACTTTTAAAGTCATCTTTGACACAGGTTCCTCAAATCTCTGGATTCCCTCACGAGATTGCCCCTGGACGGATATTGCATGCCGTGAGTATATCATGTTCAAGTTTCATTAAACTTAGATTTCTTTCACAAGTAACGTATTCAGATCAATATCATTATAACAGTAAACCAAATTGTTAACAATGTATTACCATATTTAACTTCCTTTTACTGAGAAATTATGATGAATAAATCCGGTATGAAATGAAAACTGGTTCAATAAAATTCAAATGATTTGGATAAGGATCAACAGTTACTTCTACAGTATGTTACTTCAACATTAGTCCCCTTTTCCGCATGCCCTACATAACCATATTGTTTAGCGTTTTTATTTCGTATCGTTTTCCCGAGCATTTCATTCTATACCATGTTGCTGAGTGTTTTCATTCCGTATTGTATCACTGAGTGTTTTTATTTCATACATTATTACTAAGTGTTTTCATTCTATACTGTATTGCTGCGCGTTTTCATTCCATACTGTATTGCTGAGCGTTTTCATTCCGTACTGTTTTGCTGAGGTTTTCATTCCGTACTGTATTGCTGAGCGTTTTCATTCCGTACTGTATTGCTGAGCGTTTTCATTTAATACCGTATTTCTGAGCGTTTTCACTCTATACTATATCGCTGAGCGTTTTCGTTTTTTACCCTATTTCTGAGCGTTTTCATTCCGTACTACATTCTTGAGCCTTTTTATTCCGTACTGTTTTGCTGAGCGTTTTTATTAATACTGTATTTCTTAGCTTTTTCACTCTATGCCGTATTCTTTGGCGTTTTCATTCTATACTGTATTATTTTGCGTTTTCATTACATACCGTATTGCTGAGCGTTTTCATTCTGTACTGTATTGCTGAGCGTTTTCATTCCGTACTGTATTGCTGAGCGTTTTCATTCCGTACTGTATTGCTGAGCGTTTTCATTCCATACTGTATTGCTGAGCGTTTTCATTCCGTACTGTATTGCTGAGCTTTTTGATTCCGTACTGTATTGCTGAGCGTTTTCATTCCGTACTGTATTGCTGAGCGTTTTCATTCCGTACTGTATTGCTGAGCTTTTTGATTCCGTACTAGGTTGCAGAGCGTTTTCATTCCATACTGTATTCTCAAACCTTTGTTATCATAAATTACTTGGACTAAAGTACTGACCGTAAGTTCGAGAGGCATTTCACTGTTGTCCAGAAAATACTAGATTTCCACGAATCAAAATGATTTCTCAGGATTTACCGATTCCTACCATAGAGTGATTTGCCGCTCGGATTTTGTCAGTTAAAATCCGAATCTTCAAGGGCCATATTTGGTTATGGAAACATGCAATATTGGTCATAAATTATATTTCAATTTGCTATTGAAGACCGGGATAGTGCCAATTTTGTGCCTATCGCCAGATTTTTGAAAATGTTGTCCCAGATTTGAAAATTTATGCAGTTATGTTGCATAAGGTAGAACAAAGAAAAAGTCGATCTAAACTATCGCTTCCCCTATTATGATATTCGATCTAAGAGTAAGATTTTGTCCTTGAAATTTGCTTCAAAAAATGCATTTTCCGGTGAATTTGAAGCATTTGATTATAACAAATTTCCCCCTTCGGCGGGAACCATGGTGCCGCCTCAGGTAGTAACGTAATTCTACCTTTATCCTAGGTGCCAGTTACTCTATACCGGATTGCAATCGGAGCCGAGTAACTTTCATATCGGATAGGGGTTTAAGTTGCGCTATGCCACACCAATCAGGTTAAGAAACGCTCTGATTAGCGGAGTGAAAATCGCTCCGCTTTGGAGGTGATACGAAAATCTCTCCGGAGTCCCTCCGTAGCAGAGCGTTGTAGTGTAATCGCACGAATCCGATATGCTCCACTTCGAAACAAAGGATTTTCTTATTGTTTTCTGATTGAAGCAATTCGATCGTTATTGAGCAATGGCGCTTTCTGAGATTTTGTTGCTGTTGGATAATGCCAAATCGAAATCATCCCAACATTTTCGTATTTGGAATTCATCTCTTCCCAAATTTTAATGAAGTGGCCCTTGGACAAAAAACATACTTTAACACATCAGATAGGAACACAATCTCGCTATCCGTCCGACGAACCTCATCATTTATCTCTTAGTTTCATAGTTGTTTTCGTCATTTTGTGCATAGCTATTGAAAACGAATTCGCAACAGCACATAGATTCGAAAATGTCAAAAATTTCATCTGGTAGATTTTGTGTACCAGAAATGCAAAGGAATGCAGGTTTATGAGCGAGCGGAGCGTCGTAGTATAACTGCTACCCTTGATATCACTCCGGAGTAAAAGTTACTCCGCTCTGCTCCGCTCTGCTCCTCTCCTATAGCAATCCGGTATAGTGTAATACTAGCCCTAATCTACGGATGCCAGTGATGTTCACTGTTAAGTACGACAGAGACGAGATAAAAAGTGCACTTTTCAATATCTTTCCAGCTAAGGCAAAAGTTATAGGTTTTTTGACCCGCCCTCCTTACACTTATACGAAATGCTTCTATTTAATTTAAATAAATAAAGAAATTTTGTCGGAAAATGTTTCTTTCTGGCCCCCTCTAGAGTCCATTCGCCACGACGCCCCTGCGTTTTCATTTCATAATGTTTTGCTAAGCGTTTTCATTCTATACTGTATTGTTGAGCGTTTTTATTCTATACCTTATTGCTGTGCGTTTTCGTTTGATACCATACTGCTGAGTGCATTGCATCCATGAACAGGATTTCAGATTGGTTGAAGAAATATTAATATTATTGTCCGTTCAAGATGCCACATGCTTAACCTGCTCAACTTTATAATCATAGTAGCTATTGTGGGGTCTCTTTGAAGGCTTCTTTTAACGTGAGAAATATCCACATGCGCAATTATTATATGAAATTGTCATAATCCTTGTCGATTAATGGAGGTCCATATCTCAATACCTATCGCGGCAGTTAAACGCTTAGGCAACATTTTGTCGTAATTTATACGCTCTCGAACTGGTTGTTAGCTACAAAATTGGAAGTGCAATTTGCATTTTTTGTAGAAGATCGGCACTATCACAGCAAAACAAGTTCTATCATTATCTCAGTCGCGACCACATGGCGAGAGGATGACAAGGCAGCCTTTTTTCAGAACTGCTGGGCTATCTTTTATATGCAATCTCGAAAATACGTTTGCTTCGAAGAACGTATTCTGCTTTTGGTATGATTGTTTCTTAGCCAAGGTAATCACAAATACGTCCAATGTCTAGCCTTTCACATTGTCTGGAAATAAGACAAACTGTTTCGTAGTCAGTTTTCTTTAAAAACTGCTGTTGGTTTTTTTGCACCTCTCGATACATGCCATCATTAGATAGCTTTAGACAGTAAAAATTAATTTTTCTAGAGAATTCCAGTTTTCCTCTTTTTTGGCTTAGACAGGTGTTATCGTTTTGCCCGATCCTAATACAATCTGAATGACTTAACGATTTGCTTAACGCGATATTCCCGTAATCAATTAGCTTCCCTCCTCGTTATAAGAGCTGTTTTAGGTAAAGGTTCATGACCATTAATTTTTACATAGGTCAGGGGAAAGAAGAAGATTAATAAGAATTTAGCACAAAAGCCAGCTTTTCTTCACCAGTTTTGAACTGATTTGTCCAAAATGGTCTTTTGCCAAATCCAGGCACTCCATTAGTTTCATTTGGGTTTAAGAATTAGGGAACTAAATAAGAGAAAATCAGCTAATGTGGATATTTTTATTGTGACCTTGTTAATCTCGGTGTCTGAGTTCGCAGATCCAAGGATAATTTAGGTTGAAATGTGAACTAATTAAAGGGCATTGTGTTCCAATTAGTCTAAATTATCTGCATTTTGAACTCATTTGATGTTGGCTGAATGATTAAAATTAAGAGTTGCCGTCCTTTATGTCAGAGAAACTGTTTGACTGCCATGGCGAAAGTTTGATTCTTTTGCAACTTTATAGGTAAATAGGATGATCGTATGACAAAGTGAGCAGAACAAAGTTTCAGGAGATTCGCCAATTTCCAGTTAAAGTTTCAGTGTTTGATGTAGGGCGGCATTTGCCATTGCCGACAAAAAATCAATCTGGTTGCATCAATGGTCCGTTTTTTGTCCCAAATATCATTCTGCTTCACCAAACTCGCAAAATGTGTTTCAAAAAAGCTAACCGAGAAAAAAAGTTGCTTTTTCGGGAAATTTTCAAACAAGACATGACTCTATATTCACATGCCATCTTTAATTTGGCCTCCTGATCCTTGAAATTTTCGTCGTAATGCTGGCGTTAAATACAGATATAAAGATTCATCCATTTAATCTTATTTTTTATTCATACATTATACCCATTCATTAAAAAGAAAAATTATGATATCCAAAAAGAAAAGCTACATTACAATAACATTTTTAAGGTTACTCAGGGATTGAAAATAAAAATTGTCTGATCTTCCATGTATTCGTGCCGAACTGATTTCTGTTGGCTCAAAAGGTGAACTCTTAGTTCTTTTTAAAATCGTAGGATGGAATCGGTATCTCTAATGGATTGTGGGGTATCATTACAAGCAATTGGATCAGTGTACCAAGAACCTTTTTTGGTGTACTCTAATGTTATTTTTGGACACGAAGATCCTTCCAATTTCTATCGCTTGTGTTGTATTTTGATATGGCAGACTTTTTGCTGAAGTTATTTGTTATCCCTTCAGGACAGAGCTGATTGACAATTTTTTTCCTCATAACTGCTCGGTCAAACGTCATTAATTGATTTATGTTCACGAGTCTCTTATCCCCAGCTTCCTTTTCCTTTGAAGATTCTATTAGATCGAGTGATCTTTCTGTTCTGATATTTTTGCTGATTGCTTAGTTTGGGTTCAAAGAGTTCTCCCCATACCATGTTAGCATACCTTAAGTGGCTTTCGACAACTGCTTGATATACATTGAGCAACTGGGGTTGTTCCGTTTTTAGTTTTCTAATCGATGCTAAGCTGCCCGCTATTTTCTTTTCTCTTTGACTGATTTGCACTGTTAATCCAGCGCAACGTACCGTCAACTTGACTCTTATAATACCCCTGTTTAAAAGAAGCAATAAGGACATGCTTAAAAATTCTTATACTCTTATCGCATTAACTACATCAAATTGTCTATACCTGCCGCGCCTCGTGTTAATATCTTTTCCGTGAAAGTCCTATGTTATCTGTTACCTTACGGAGAACCTTGTATTTAGGCCATAAGTTTGGGTTCTTCGAAACTAGTTTTTTATTTTATTTTGCTCTTCTATGCTCATTTTAATAACTGAAGTAATCCATGGAACGTACTCGTTTTTACCTTCCTTTTCTTTAGAGAGGCATGAGAATTTAGCAGATGCTCAAAAATGTCCTTAAGTGGAGAGGCCATTTTACTAGTGTTGTCATTCATTTGTTCTAAAATAAAAGCCCAGTCAAATTATTTTAGGTCCTTCTGGAAATCCTCCTTTCAATTTTTTTTAATGGCTCAACAGTTTTTGGATTTTTTCTTTTGACCTTCAATACTTTTATCTTTCGCACTGTTTAAATCATGTGTAATCACGAGGTTCCTTCTGCTATTATAAATTCTTCGGCTATTTTTTGAGCAAGGGACCTATCTCCATTCTGAGTAGTATGAAAAATTTTTTCAAGATTAAAATTTCCCCCGTTTTAAAGTACTAGAAGCATTGACTAAACTGTAAACTAGAGGCCAAATGATACAGCAAATGTTCAGTTGAAAAGTAATCTGTCTGAGGCAAATAAACTTATGCGTAATATGAAATTTCAACGAAAAAGTAATTTGCTAGCAAATGCCACTAGAGATAATAGTTCAACGCAAATTTTCATAGAGGAAACCTGTGATGAAGGCTCCCTAATGGTGTTCTCAAGTCGTTATATGTTCCATCCAGTCTTGTTTCGTAAGGTAGTACCTATCATAATCATTGTTATCATGCTAGTATATGTTGTTCATGTAATTTTCAATTTTTTTCCAGTTTTGCATACAAAGTACGACCATAGCAAGTCAAGCACATACAAAGCAAATGGTACAAAGTTCTCTATACGATATGGCAGTGGAAGCTGCTCTGGCTATTTAAGTCGAGATCTGGTCACGGTAATAAATAGATTGAATTCTTATCTTATCTCTCTGAATAAGAGTTCTTATCTATCAGGGTTGACCTTATATAAATCTCTTTGTTTGTGTACTCGCTACAACGTGCGGTACTACACTGAACGCAACGATCACCACAATGCACGCCACAATGCTCGCCGCAATGCTCACCGTAACGCACACTGCAACGCTCACTGCAACACTCACTGCAAAACTTGACGTTCACTTGAGTAATTGCTAAATCTTTTCGGAATCTTTCATTCATCTCATTTAATTGAACAATACGACTTTTTCACTAGGGTCTTCGAGCAAAATTTTGTAGCTGGCATTAGAAATAGCTATCCCGGCGATCTGCTAGCGAGATCAAAACTCATTCTGTTGTTGGGGAATCAAAAGACTCACGCCTGAAGTGACAAAACGAATAATGTGCTATTCGTTACACAATTTTGTCGTTGTAGTCGCCCTCTAAGTAGCAGTTGTAGTCGCGCTTTTTAAGCAATTTAGTTTGAATAGTAGCTACCAGGCTTATTGTATTTTCATATCATGCGAAAATGCGAAGTTTTGCAAAATACAAGTTTCGAGGCGGTATTTTGTAAAATGCGAAAGCTGATTTAAAAAACTTTATTTGCCCTGATCAACGACCGAAAACATGCAATTCACATTCATGCAAATAGCCTAGTTCATGTCCCATTCAACGTTAGATAACTCATTGGCACCTTCTGGAAAATGGTCCAAATACCAACCACGCCAAAGTCATGAACGGCCTAATTGTGAATTGCCCATCCCAGCTATATTCCATTGTAATCGGTAAATTCCGGCAGTTCTGCGTGCTCTGTGTTGTTTTAGGAGTAATTTACGCCTTTATCCACAAGGCCTATTTTCCTGTTGCCTTGCCCGGCGAAACCCGTGTGGCTTGAAAAAGACGGGGGTGATGTCAAAGATTTTCGCAAAATACGAAATGGCTGGGGGTGTTTGTATTTTACGAAAACTCGCCCAACATTGTCGAAATATTGGCTTCTATTTTAGTAAATGTATGGAAAGGCTTTGGACTGTGTTTAAAATCTTGTCAATTGAGTAGGCTTCAAAAGACTCGATAAATTTAAAGAATTTTCAAATTTAGGATTTTTTAACGCTCAGTTTTAAACAAAACGTCTAGTTCTAAAAGCTTTTGTGCAGTTCTACAATGTTTACTCATGTAAAGAAAGAATTCAAAAACATGTTGCAAAAAGACCTAGACTTTAAGCTCTTTTAAACCCTGGGGGCTTATTTATTTTTCAGTCCTTGAAGGGGGCCTATTACACGGAGGGGGGGGGGGGCTTATTAGAAGTTTTAAGTATAAAATAATATCGAAAAAATGCATCTTCTCTGCATTATTTCTATCGAAAAAACTTTGCTAGCAGATTTGAAGCTTTATTTGAATTAGTCAATTAAAATGTTTCATCTTCATCAGAATCATTGATTCAAATCCCCCCTTTCCCTTCTCGAATGAGTCCCTATGTGTAATCTTCCTTATGAAAACAAGCCCCTGGTGGTATTTTCTACGATTGGCGGTAGGTGTATTGCTATTTTGCCTATTGTTGCTAATAACGTATTATATCGATAAATATGATGTGTATTATACCGTATTGTTAATTTTTGTTTTAACAAGTGAGTATGGTAAAGATTAACTAAGAAACTTTACTATAAATATCGTAGAAAGAAAAAAATGAGCGAAAAATTCAGTCCATTGCATAACGTCTCTATTTGCTTTGCTACAGGTTGGTAAATTGGCAGTAAAAAACCAGTTGTTTGCCGAAGCCACACAGGTCCCAGGGATCGCGTTTATAGCAGCGAGATTCGATGGAATTTTGGGTATGGGGTATCAAAGCATTGCCGTGGATAACGTGACAACAGTCTTTCAAAACATGGTTATTGAAGGACTTGTAAAAGAGCCTGTTTTCTCATTTTATCTCAACAGGTAATTTTCAATTTTAATAATGCCTAGCTGAACTTTTCTGCCTAGCTGAACTTTTCCTGCTTAGCTGAAATTTTTCTGCCTAGCTGAACTTTTCTTGCTTAGCTGAAATTTTTCTGCCTAGCTGAACTTTTCCTGCCTAGCTGAACTTTTCTTACCTAGTGTTATTGCCATATTTCCAGTGACCAGAAATGTTTCAAGTGCTTGATAACAGCGATCTTGCCATTCACCAGCTGCTATGCAGGCTTCTAGTTACAGGGACCGCTGGGTATTTGAAGTCGTTTCAAAATACTAACCTAAATCACAGATAGTTCAGCGAAGTTTTGTACGTAATTTTGAGAATAATTGGGATTTTGAGAATTACTGGAGCCTCAGTCCCTCAGCTATCTCGGTTATAGCTCGGTTATTGATCAAGCTAAACTGAATAGAGAATAAGTTGGCCTTCACTAAGGCATCACAGTCATGTCCTTCGCATGAATTAATCTGTTTACACGGTGGAGATTTTGGAGAATCGGGATCGGAATCTGGATCAGGATAGGAACCTCCACCTTGAAAATCATGTTGTTAAAACACTGTGTCCCGATCCATTTCTTTTAAAACTCTATCCCATTTCAGAGATTGATTCGGATTGCAATTGAAATTCCGATCCTTAAACCGATCGCAATCGCTTATCTAAATAGAAGTTGAATATGACGAAAGCCCGTCACAACAAAGGTTTTCTAAGCAACAGCAACAAGGAAACTGAATGTTTGTAAGCTTACAAAGGCACGTATCAACTTTTGTGGAATGTTTATGAATGCGTTCCAGTTGCAATGTTTTTGCCTTTAAAGGGATCCATCTGCAAAGGTTGGTGGTGAAATAATGTTTGGTGGGAGTGATCCGACATACTATACTGGCAATTTTACGTATGTCCCTGTGTCTGTCAAAGGATATTGGCAGTTTAAGATGGATGGGTATGTACTGTATTCATTCTCCATTGCTGTGAATTCGTGTAGTTTATTGCAGTTACTAGGAAGAGGAGCAATCGAAGATCTGGAGACCATCTTCCTCTACATTTATTCTAATCGATGTTCTGGCGTTGCGATCAATCACTTTTTCAGATCTTCAACTGGAATAAATCTTCGTCAAAAGACTTTAACTTTCTTGCCTCTTCAACAAATATTCGTTTTGTTTATTCGTGCAGTTATTCGTGTTTATTCGTACAACAAATATTCGCGATTAATATCGCCAATGAACTCGGAACTGCAGCCCTCCCGATTCACCACCCAAGGATTAGATATTTTCTCCTGGTCAATAGACTTGAACTAATTCCATAAAAATTCCCAATTTTGAATTAAGATCACAAGGAGACATAAATCACATCACACGTGCTGGAATTTAGACATGTCCTTTTCAGTTGTGAAGAAATTTCGTTTACTGTATTTCCATGGCAAATTTCCTGGAACTTTATATCCACAATGTCACCTTTGTGAAGAAACCCACCTTATAAAAGAAATGGTAGAATAAAGATGCTGTGAACCATGGCTTTTTTGTAATCAGTAGATCAGTAGAACATTGACGTCCTTGTACCAGTTTAACTTCTGTTGTAGCGTCTTTCTATCAAGCTTAACTGAATCGCGTTTAAAGCCACTAGAAGAATCACACAGAACCGCCTCCCTATGCTTGCTCATTTGTTAAATTTGTGCGGAGGATTCTGTTTGAGAAATATCTTTTCGACAGAAGCGCGTCAATGTTCACTTTATCTCTAGATTAATGTATTTGTCAACTTCTTGTTTCATCGTAGACAATTCCAATTTAGAAAGATCTATTAGGACAATTTCAATTTAGACAAAGTTGACAATCGATGGGTCTCTTTCTCCTGAACCGACAAGTCCTCATATCTTTGAGATTTGGTCCAAGAGACATAATAAAAACGAATTAAAAGGAAGGCTTTTTGTGACGTCATCAATTTCACGCATTTCTGCTCAAACTTGAAAGTGAACTATTCTGGACTTTAAATCTACATGGTTGACTAAATTAAGAATCAGTAAAATATTTTCAGCTTCATAAAATTCAGTCAGGAACAATAATTTCAATGTTGATAACTGGAGATGTCCTTTTAATATTCAGCTCAAACCATTCATTTAGCCAGATTTCGTTTCTGGTTTTTTATTTTGAGGGCAGACTGTCTTTTCGCTGTAATGTTTAAACTTATTTAGCCACAGAGAGAATACTTGGATTTAAAATGTAGGTTGAATTTGAAATTGTTCCGCTGCGATTTGATCTCTTATCATACCATGCCTTATATCCTTATTTGAACAATCGTGTAAACATGAGCGATGTTTGGTCATTTCTAGTGATGAGATGAGAGGGAAATTTTTTGTTTCTTTTACATAAAACATCGATTTTTACGATTGTTAATCCTGCGGCGAATGAATGGGCATCTTGTACCGAAAAGCTCAAATGCTCGTCAAGATATCAGTAACGCTTTTGCTTGGTGGTGCCAATCGTTTTAGGCTGACAGTTATGTCTGGGTTAAGTAGCCTAAAAACGATTAAAGTGCGGAGATATCATCTCATGATTATGGAGTTCCCTTCTAAATGTAACAACCACCTACGACCGCACATTTGAAGATTTATCTTGATTCTTCATTCACGAGTTTATCGATAATTTCCTTCCGTTGCTTCTTTTTCATGTGATGTATTAATAATATCAGGTCAGACTTATAAGAATAATGGATCTTTGCGTATCACCTGTCTTAGTTCGTTCAATTTTTAAAAATTAATTCACTAATAATCCACATTCGCATTAGCATCTTCCCCGCTGCTGGTGGTTAGACTCCTCCCCTTTGTTTTTCGTAATGAAAAACCCAGCTGAAGGTAGCGAAAAACAAACTATTTTTTGTGGACTTTTAGTCTCAATAAATTTTTATCATGATAAGATTGGTTATTATCAGTGGCGCCCATAGATATGAATTTATTTTGGGCTTTAATTAAATATGCAGATGAAACCTGTTATTAAAACATTTCCTTCATATATGATTTATTTTTTTCATTCGAATGGCCTACTTTAGGTGAAATAAATCCTTACTTGATATTGAATGGCTTTGCAAAGAGCAGACATTTACAACAAAATTGGCTAAAAGCTTTTTCATCTGACACTCCTCAGAGCATGAACGTCAGAATAAGGGTCCGAAAGACCACGATGAGGAATATATACCAATCAGAAAACCGCAAGCACAAGGCCGGTATAGTTGACCAACTGTGCCGCGTGCCTAAAGAAAATTTCCCACTGGAGTCCAAGAGAGAAAAGGAACTCATTCTGTCTACTCAATAGCGGCTTTACATCTAGCAGTATTGGAATCGATCTACATATAAACGAAAAAGCCGCCATTGTGTAGACAGAAGAAGTTTTCAAGAATACAAAGCCCTTGTTGAGAGTCATCATGCTGACGTAGTCTGGGGGAACATGTCAAACAATAATTAACAGCCTATCAGAGACTGCACAATCTTGCCTTTCATATTATTAAAGCATCAAAAGTATTTTACAAAATTTACTTGCAGCAATTTGTTGCTTGTAGCTTTCAAAATGGAACGTATTTAGTGAATGTCTGTCAATCTACGTGTAACATTTTCAATTTCGTCCTCTAGTCTAAAAATTGGAACTGGTGAGTTCTGTGTTGGTGGATGTCAAGCCATCGCAGATACTGGCACATCACTTCTTGCCGGCCCGTCCTCTGAAGTACTGAAAATCAACACTCTGATTGGTGCCTTTCCGATACCTTTTGTGGGAGAGGTATTTATTTCGACTCTCTTTCCTTCTCTTTTTCCTGCATAACTAATACTGAATTATCCTTGCATTTAAACTAAGTTCAACATTTGATAATGCCTTAATGATGCAATTTATTTGGATGTCAATCAATACAATGCCAGAATCCAGATCAAAGAAGGGACTTTACTTTTGATGCATCATTTACTCTTTTGATGCATCTTTTTAGCTGTGATGAGTTGGTTTGCAGAATTAGAGAATTAATGAAAATTACAGAATTAAAAAGTAAGCTAAGATATTAGACTGATTTTTTTTAAATGAATTTATTTCAGGCCATTGTAAACTGCAGTAAAATTGACACGATGCCCGATGTAACAATCACATTAGCCGGGAAGCAATTCACGCTAAATGCAAAGCAGTACGTCCTGAAGGTAGGTAGTGTCATCATAACGTTTTTTAGTGGGTCTGTGAGGTATTGCAAGCATCATCTTATGGTTTGATCTTGTAAATTTGGGATTTTGTTAAATTAGCCGTCTGTTGTGTGTGGTGTGTTTTTTGTGGTTCAATTAATATCATATTTTTGTGTAGTTTTGTGACAATTACTAATCATGGTTTTTTGTTATTTTGCTAAAACTAATATCATGGCTTTGTGGTATTATGATCCTATCATGGTGGTTTTGATATGATATTGTTTTAATTATTATCATGTTTTTGTGTTCTTTTGCTACAATCAATTCCACGGTTTTATATTGTTTGCTACAATTAATATCATCGTTTTTGTGTAGTTCTGTTACAGTTAATATCATGCTTGTGTAGTTTTGTTGCAATTACTATCATCGTTTTATGTTATTTAGCTGAATTTAATAACATGGTTTTGTGTAGTTTTTCACAAATAATACAGTGCCTTTGTGTACAATTATAGCATGGTTTTATGTGGTGCTGTTAACTTAACTCTTTGGTTTTATGTTGTTTTTTTAACTTGACCACGTGGGTTTATGTGGTTTTGTTTTGATTAATATTATTGGTTTTGACACAATTATTATGACGGTATTGTGTTGTTTTGTCAACTTAACCTCGTGGTTTTATGTTGTGTTGTTGCATTTAATATCACAGTTTTGTGTGGATTTGTTACAATTATTATTATGGTTTTATGTGGTTTTTTCAATAGATATTGAGTTAACCTCTTGGTTTCGTGTAGTTTTTTGTGTTACCATGGTTTTTGATGGTTTTATGCTTTTTTTTAATATCAGTTCGTAATTAAAAAGGCTAGAGATTGAAGATTTGGTATTGTGTATCTCAATCAATCAGCCTTAAAACCTCTTCTTGTCGCACAGCATTTGAGACCTGAATGTTTTGATAATTTTAAGCTGAGTCGACCCTAGTTTTGCCTTTGTATCAGAAGTTGGTTGTACGCTGAGTAGTCTAGTAGCAGCAGAGCTCAAGATTCACTCTAGTTGTTGCAAATAACCTAGGTTTCCAGGGGTTGAAAGAGGTATTACGATTGGAATAATGGCACGTTCAGATTGGCAACCTTCCCCGTTTCTTTTGACTTTTCAGTTATTTTATTCTCAAGGCAGTATCGAACGCAAACATTTAAAGTATAATGTTCTATGTTTCCTCTGTTTGAGCCATTTTAAAGCTTTACAGTACGAGACTTTATTAAACACTCTTTGAGTTGTGTGAAATTTTGTGGAGCATTGTCAACGAATGCACATGTCTAAACTTGCGTTATTTGCCGGATGAGCTTTTGTCAGTTGCAATATTCTTATTGCACGCAGGAATGGATCTACTGTGTCAACCGTGAGAGCAATATAATAAGTACTAACTCTGGGCATTAAAACACGTGAATTCAAAGTAAACACCTGCTGGCTAAGTTGTGTTTTGCACTTTTCATAATTTAGAAATGGTGAAGACACAGTGCTCCATTAAGCAGGTACGGCTGTGTTCAGCTTTCTTGTTCAACACAACGCATCCCAAATAATGAATTGTCTTGGCATATCAAACGTGTACGACTGCACAGATAAACAAAACCAAGTTGAAAGTTTAAAGTTTTGCATTCAAAGTCTACTTAAATTAGGGTAAACTAGGTTTAAAATATGGTCCATGGCGAATAGAATAATTAAATGTGAAGTCACAAAAATCTACTGCCCGTGCAAATCGGCGAAATTCCTTGAAAATTTAGTGAGATAGAGTGAAGGAACATTTAAATATTTGATAAAGAGTTACTTTGATTTTGGCTTGACTCATAAAGTTTAGAACAGAAACAAAAAAAACAGTGATTTTATTGAGTAAGAGCCTGTGCATTTTGTGTGGCCTTGGATTTTGGAAAGACAATTTGAAAAAGGCAATTTTTTTCAATCCTGCGTCATGAAACTTGAGCCTCAATTCCCAGCCGTTAAACCATTTCAAGAAAAATTACATCGCATAATTAGAATTTATAGCAATTAGCTAAAATATTAAGCTTTATTCTCATTTCTTGTAATTTTCCATGATGTTAGGAAGTTTGCTGTCAACTGAGATTTTCAATTTCCGACTGAAGTTTTGTGATAATTGAAACCAATGCTTTCGATATATGAAATAAGAATTTTTGGGTGAAGGGAAACTTTAAAAATTACAAATATCATGTATCTGGTTTATGCGAAAAAATGTCACCTAGCCCGTCAGGCTTCATTCTAGATAATCGAATTTTGCCAGATTCTTGTTCTTTGACACCATGAAATTGCAAGCAACAACGACTAAAAAGTATTGATTAATTATAAAAATTGTATGTCTTGTGCGGTTATGTTGAAAGGGAATTGTTGAACCTTTTTTGCTGACAACTTGGATTCCTTGCTAATTAACAAATTGAAATTTGCAGATGACGATTGCTGGCCAGTCGCAGTGCATTAGTGGGTTCATTGGCTTGGATGTGCCACCACCGCGCGGACCCTTGTGGATTCTCGGTGATATCTTTATCGGCGCATATTATACAGAATTTGATATGGGAAACAACCGGGTTGGATTCGCCCGCACCAAGTAGGGCGCCTTTATGACTAATTGACTTTCTCCGCATGTAATTCAGAATTTTTGCTGATACCGTACTATTTATATTGCAATCACATAAGCAATATCAAATGAAAAGTAATTTATTTCTTTTTTTACGCTTGGAAATGGCCGATTCTAAGTAAAGCAACTTTTGCTAACTCCAGTATACCACTGTCGTCCTTTCAACAATGAACGAGTCGTTAACCTATCGATCACGTGATGAATGTTTCCCCTGTTAATGAAGCCTAGCAAGTGGAAGAGGTCAAACTAGTCTATAGGGTTGTCCTTAGAGATCTTTGTTAATGAACCTTTGTTTTCTACCCTTCCCGATTTAACTGCTTCTCGTCCCGTTTGCTGCAAAGAGCAAGTTGTTCTAGATTTGATGATTTCGCTTTTGAATCCCTTAATACTGCCCCAAAATTTTGCTGCATACAATTTTTTGCTTGCTTTTGAACCTATTTTATATTTAAGCTATATATTGAATCCATCACGTATAATTGCATACTTTGTGGAAAATGTCTTTTTGTTAATGTGTTTCTTGGTGTAAGTAAAATATTAGAATTTACAGAAAAGGCAATTGCAAAGTTTTCAAGATGGGCATTTTCATATCTGATGCGATGAAATTTTGTTCTTTATGCAGTTCAAGTAAAATACTATGATTTTTTTAAAAATTGATCACTCCTGCGCTGATTCAGAAAAGAATAAAAAAGCGCTGTGTTTTTCAAAAAAATTGGCAGGAATAACTTTCTCCAATACATGTTTTTCTCTTCATAAGAAACTGGTTTATAAGGAACTAGCACTAGGATGGCCAAAAATCTATGAAACTTTAGTACTAGGCTCAAGAAAAAATAAGAAACTGTTTAATTTCCATATTTAAAAAAGAGTATCTCTATGGTCCATTGACTGTATTCTTTCCCAGATGATAATCTAACGCATCCGTTGATTGAGAATATAGAAGACAAATGTTAACAGACAGGTTTTGATCTGAATGGGTGTGTTCATGACGGTCTGCGTTTATATTCGTGCAAAGATGCTCAATTTCAAAACAATTTTAGGTCTCGGAAATAGGAATCCAATTATAAAACTTTTAGTTCTTAAGCGCACGAGGGCTAACCGACAGTCTCGTAAAATCACAAAACTTTTACACAAATCGGTGAAGAAACAAACGTTAAACTGGATGTGAAAAAGCTTCTGCCCGTATGAATAAAAGCCGGACACAAAGTGAATCAGGTGTCATATGCGTTTCGGTAACCTCATACATTTCGGTCCGGGTACACAAACGCATGGTAATTCTGGTTATGCAAAAACGTACCCAAGAACTTAAGCAATAGGGTACCAAAATGAATGGTGGAATTTAGCATGTAAAACGGTCCGGATACACAAAGGCATGGCAATTTTGGTTAAGCAAAAACGTACCCAAGCACGTAAACAATAGGGTACCAAAATGAGTGGTGAAATTTAGCATGCCTTTCGGTCCGGGTACGAATTTAGCATGCATTTCGGTGCAAGTCTTTGAAAATAGTGGACCGAATCGAATGGTGGGATTTAGCATGTGAACCGGTCCGAGTGCACAAATGTTCTGGTTCCTATCGAACTATTTTTAAAAAGGGAGTTTGCTTGATTGACAAGTGTGAAATTTTAAACTCGCCAAACATTGTGCTCCATTTTTTTCTCATAACGTGTCATAACATCGCACTACGATGAAATCATATTATTTGAAACACATCGCGTTTCACAATGTTACATTTTTGCATAGGGTACCAAAACGCATATTACACCGGCATCATCCTAGGCAATCTCGCCAGCACAATGCATTATTTTGCAAACATTTCTGCAAAAAGCTTTTAATTTGCCGCGTTTTCATTTTCTTTTAATTTATAACCAGACCGCTCTTGATTGGTTTCTTTTTTGACCAATCAGTAAACGCTAACCCTCACCTAGTAAAGAAGTTTAAAAGAAAAAACGGATCTCTTCACAAGA